TTCAGCTCTCACACTTGGGGCTTTTGTTCCTTTTCCTGCAGTTTGGAAGAACTGGAACTGGAATTTTGCCTTTGAGTTCTGTCATTTCCAGTGAGGCACAGCAAGGCTTTATTTAGGCCAGGCTTAACTGGGATCCAGGGAGCAGATCCGTGGGGATCCAGGGAGCGGGTCCTCGGGGATCCAGGTGTTTTTCCATGCCCTGGCTGCTGTTATCGCAGCAGCGCCCACGGTTCGGTGTTCCAAATAAAGATTGTGGAGTTCTGAACCCTTCCCAACTTCTGTGGATGAGGAAAAACATCCCATCAGTTCTTTGGGATGTCCTGTGGGCACTGATGAGATGGTTCTGAAATTCAGTGGTGATTTTATGGAATTTTGAACCTTTCCCAGCTTTTGTGGATGAGAGAGATCCCATCTGATTTCTCTGATGAGGTGGCTCTCCCATTAAATGCTGATTTTATGGAATTTTGAACCCTTCCCAACTTTTGTGGAGGAGGAAAAACATCCCATCAATTCTTTGGGATGTCCTGTAGGAGCTGATGAGATGGTTCTGAAATTCAGTGGTGATTTTATGGAATTTTGAACCTTTCCCAGCTTTTGTGGATGAGGAAACACATCCCATCAGTTTTTTGGGATGTCCTGTAGGAGCTGGTGAGGTTTTACTGCTCCATCCCTGGAACTGTCCAAGGTTGAAGCACCCTGCTCCAGGGAAGTTGTCCTTCCCCATGGTGCAACAAGCTGGGATTTTAGGGCTTTTCCAAGGCCAATCCCTGCTGGAATTCCGAGCTCTCCCCTCCTTGCCTTTCCCACAGCACGAGTGTCAACACCACCACTCCAAGACCAAGAAACATTCGAAGAAATCCAAAAAACATCACCGGAAGCGCTCCCGTTCCCGCTCCGTGAGTATTCCTGAAAACCCTCCCTCTGCCATTCCCCACTCTACTAATTCCTGCTGAAATTCCCGTTTTTAACTGGAATTCTGCCCCTGTGGGTTGTGTGTGAAGGGCTCAGAGTCCGAGGATGACGACAGCCACTCCAAGAAGAAGCGGCAGCGCTCGGAATCGCGGTCGGTGTCGGAGCGTTCTTCCAGCGCCGAGTCCGGTACGGGATGGGATGGGATTGCCTTTAAAGCAGCTGTGCTTTTATCCTTTGGGATTTATCCTTTGGGATTTATCCCCTCATTCCTGGGGTTTCTGTTTCTCCCTGTGCTGCAGAGAGGAGTTACAAGAAGTCCAAAAAACACAAGAAGAAGAGCAAGAAGAGGAGGCACAAGTCTGTAAGTGAAAAACTCCCTTTTAAACTGGCTGTGGACACCCTGGCACCTGCTGGCTGTAATCCCAGATGGATTTTCCTTAGGGAAAAACTGGGATCAGGCTGGAGTTGGATTTTATTGCCAAAATAATCATTTTCTGTTCTGCATTCCTAATGTTGGGAATTAATATTATAATATTCTACTATAAAATGTTATTTTAAAAATTTTTATATAAAATATTATAAAATTTTATAGTTAAATTTTTAAAAGTAATATAATTAAATTTAAAATATTATAAAATTAATATTATAAAAGTATTAAAATTTATACAAATTATAAAATTTTATATTTCTGAAATATTTTTAACAATAAATTTATTAATATTATCAAATATAATATTAGGAATTAATGTTACTAATAAAGCCACTTCAAAGTGCTGCATTTTGGAGGGTTTAACTCCATGGGAAGGACTCCATGAGGAACCTGGGATTTATCCTGGCCAGTCCAGGTGTTCTCCTTTGCTGTGGGGAGGATCCCAAGCCATTCCCTGTTCCTTCCTGAGCGCCAGGGCTGTGTGGGAAGCTTGGAGTTGTACAAGAGCAGCAGAAGGATCTGGAAAGCAGGAGGAGCTTCCCTTCTTCCCTGCGAGGAAAACTGTGGCTGCTCCATCCCTGGAAGTGTCCATGGAGCACCCTGGGATAGAGGAAGGGGTGGAATGGGATGAGATTTTTAGGTCCATTCCAATTTAAATCATTCCACGATTCTTTAAATGGAATTTGGACTTTAAAATATTCAACATTAATATTCACTATTCCCGTTTTTTCCCACAGGATTCACCAGAATCTGACGTGGAACGAGAGAAGGACAAGAAAGAAAGAGAGAGGGATAGCGAGAAGGAAAGAGCCAGACAGAGATCCGAGTCCAAGCATAAATCTCCCACTAAAAAACGGCCTGGAAAAGATTCCGTAAGCTCTGCTTCCCTTTTCTCCCGCTGCTTGGGGCTCTGGCAGCAGGATCTGCTGGATGCAGCTCCGTAGCTGTGCTCTGGGAAAGGCCAGAGGTTGGATTTGATGATCCTGGAGGTCTTTGCCATTCCCAGACGTGGATTTTGGGGTTGCTGAGTGACACGGAGCAGACAGCTCTGGCCCTGTGTCCCCGCCCAGGCTCCCAGGGTGGAACCTCCCTGGAAAATCCCATCCTGAGCACTGTCCTGTCTCTCCACAGGGAAACTGGGATACCTCTGGCAGCGAGCTCAGTGAGGGGGAGCTGGAAAAACAGAGGAGGACTCTTTTGGAACAGCTGGATGAAGATCAGTGAGAAGATCCTTGATACCAAAAATGTTTACAGGTGGCAAAATAAAACCAAGCCTTGTGTGGGCGAGGCCCTGGGGCCGGTGGCCGGTGGCCCACGGCCACAACAACGGTGGCTTTTAGTTTTTTACCACTTCAATCCAGTCAAAAGTAGAAAAAAAAAAAAAAAAAAATCCATGGAATTCTGAGGGCAAAGCTGTGCCTGGCCTGGAGCTGCGGGGCGGGATGGGGGCTGGGATCCCCTGAAGGGGACACGGAGGTGGCAGCAGCGTCCCCAAGCACTTTCCCGGTGTCCTTCCCAAGGCAGGGAACAACCCTGGGCTGCTTGGGCAGAGCCCAGCTCAGCCTCAGGAAAAAAATTCCTAATTTAATTCCTGGTGTTTTCAGTCACTGGTGGATTTGGTTGGGTGGGGTTTTTTGGGAAGGCAGCAGGAGTAAGGGATCCACGTCCTGATGTGTTCTGCAAACCCCTTTGGCTTTTGGGGTTGTTTGGCACTGCAGCTTTTGTCCGAGACTGATTCCGTGTCCAAGTCCCGACTCCCATCAATCCCAAATCCCTGGGAATGTGCTGGACGGGAATTCTCCCGCTGTGCCAGCAGAGGGAGCGTTTGGGACACAACCACCCCGGCATTCCCGAAATCCCAGCCCGGCCCAGCCCTGGCTGTGACTCCAGCGTTTCTCTCTCCACCTTTTCTCTTCCCCTTCGGAAAATTTAGGAATAAAAATGCAATGTCAAACACAATTCCATGTGTTGCCTTAAGAACCTGCTGCAGAATGTACCTGCACGGCCCAGAGGAGGGAGGAGGAGGCAGCTCCAGCCCCGTTTTCCAGCACGTTCAGGAAGGTGCCCCCAGCCCTGCTCGGTGAGAAAATTGGGAAGCCGCTGTCCTTGGAATATTTTTGTACATTTTTATCGCTGATTAAACCTTGTCTTTTAGCATGTACTGGTATTTATTTCTCCTTAAATACTCTGTACAGCTCTGAGCCACAGGATCACTCACAAAAGCTGCTTGAAGACTCTTCAGATTCCTTTCCAGGAATATTTTTTCACAAATTTTGACCGCTTTTACCAGTGCATAAACAGCCAAAGGATCCATTTATCCAGGGAATTTTCTGGCTGGGGAGGTTGCAAAGGCTCAGAATCCTTAAGAACACCCCGAGATTGAAATGAGTTCTTTGAAATATAAAATGCAGGAGGTTGTAACCATTTTTTCCTGGGATATTTTGGGATTTTCTGGGATGGTTTGGGATGGGAAAGCACATCCCAATCCTGCTCTTTACTCCTGGAGAGTCATTGCTGCTGGGGGAAAACCACCTGGATTTGGTCAAACAGGGCTTGTGGGGATTTCTGGTATCCATGGGGTGTTTGGAATCCAGGTTGGAAGCAGTGGCAGGGAGAATATTCCAAGTTTTTCCCTGCAACAAGTGGCTCTGCCAAGGGAGGATTGGGATAATCGCTGTTCCAGGAGCACCCACATCCCTGGGTTTGTATCCCAAAATGGGAATTCCCAGTGTGGGAACAGGAGGGCAGCAGCTCCTGGAATGTGGCATGGAGCTGGGAGAAGGATTTTGAGTCTGACAGGGAGGAAGGAGCTTCTTCCAATGCTCTTCTTCCCTTGCACCCACACAAATCCAATGAAAAAGTTGTTCCTAAGGGAATATCACTCTAAAAACGTTTGCCAATATTTATTTTTCCATCAAAAATAAAGAACTGGGAATGTCAATTACTCCAATGCTGGGGTTTTCTTCAATCAATTTGCTGGAAAAAACTCAGCTTTAAGCTGAGCCTGCTTTTAAACCAAGGATCGAGTTTTCCAGGGAATTGAGTTCAGGTTTGTTTTTCCAGGTGTTTTTTTTTGTTTTTTTTTTTTTTTTGTTTTCCTCCTCTTTCCTATTTCCCAGCCCCATTTTTTTTTCCTCTGGCAGCCTCAGCACAGCCAACAGCTCAACCTCTGCATTCCCACCTGGAAACTGGAAGGAATTTTAGCCAAAATGATTCTTTTTAATCAAATATTGGATTCTTTTGGATCATTTTTAACTGTCAGTATGAAAACCTTGGCTCTGCTGGTTAATCCTGACCCCCCCCAACTCAGAATAATTCTATTAAATTCTATTTTAAAAATTAGATTTGATATTAAAACCCCAATTCTTTAGGCCTTAAATGGTTGGATTGTTTTGAGTGCATTTCTGGCAAATATTAATTCCCATTTATTTCCCTCCTGGAGCTGATCCAGGTCTCTCCCAGGAACATCCACACCTCAAACTTCTTCCCTCAGCCTCTTCCAGAATAACAAAGAATAAGTAAATTAATGCAGCAAATTCCTTCAATCTTCACCCACACGAGCTCCAGCTGTTCACCTATCAAATATCACCATTTCTGGGGGGAAAAACCCCAAAAAAACAGGTAAAAGAGACCCAAAAAACCTCTCTGGATTTCAGTGTAGTAGTGTAAATAGTTTATTTGATTTTATGGCAGGAACAGACCAGGAAAGGAACGTGAACTGCTTTAGAAAACACTTCTAATCTTGCTAAGAAGCAGATCTATGACTAGAAAAATATTAAAGAGAACATGCCAGCTTGGCTTTCATTTTGGGCTTTTATTAAAAAAATACCTTTGAGCTGAAGAAAATGAGATTTAGTGTTTATACCCCGACACCTGCTGAAATTTGAAATTCAAATTATCCGGTTTTCTTTGATGTAAACACTCCTTGCAACAGTGGCATGTTCTCTTTAGCAGGTCAAGTACACAGTGCTGGAAATGGAAAACTTGGCAGTTTTTCAAGGAAAAAAAAATTCCTGGAAATTGGTCAATGTGGTAACTCCGAGTCCCAAACTGTCCTTTTAGTTAAATATAAAAACAAAAACTATAAGTTAAAATAACATTCAGATTGTATAGCACAGGCTTGATGCATTTATTTCCTTTTTAAACAATATTTACAATATTACCCAGAGGCTGAAGTGGGAGGGGAGGGGGAAGTGTAAAAACCATAAAAAACTGCACCGATTTTGTAGCAAAATATCTGTACATTTAAAAACAGATTATCATATAACTACACGTTATCCAAGGAAAAAAAATAATCCAACAGGGACCTTCACCAGTGGGAGCACAACGGGAAAGGGCAGAGAAATTCAGTGGTTAAATACTATACAAGAAATTTTACAATTAACAGATGGATGAGCCCAGGCAGGGAAGCGAAATGGGATTTGGGAAGGATGAATTTCTCCTCGGTCCAGCCCTTCCCAGCTCCTGGATTCTGCTGGCATGGCACGGAGTGGGATCCATCCCGCTGCTCCACGCTCCTAAGTCAGCCTCCCGTCCCTTTTTAGGCTTGGAAAATGCCACGGAGAACCTAAAACCGAACCTAAAACCGAACCTAAAACTGAACCTAAAACCTGGCGGGAGTTTTAGGCTGGGCTTCCCTTCCAAAGGAGCCTCAGCAGGGAATCCGAGCAGGAATGTCTCGGAGCCGGAGCAGGCTGGAATGCCCCTGCCAGGAACTGGGCTGCAGTGGTCCTCAGAGCTTAATACTGATTACTGGGTGTTAATTGCTTAGTGCTAATTAATAAATACGCTGTTATCCCAAGGCTGCCTTCCCTGCCCCCCCCAGCCCGAGCCCTGGAACGTCCCAAACTGGGGGAAGCTCCTGTTCTGTTCCTATCCCTGGGATTGGGATCCCACGTTCCACTGGGAGGCTGCAGGGGCTGGGAAAAGGGCTGGGAGCTCCTTGGGATTATTTTAATTCCACGTCCAGAAAGCCCTTAAATGTCTTTGTTTGTAGTTTGAATTAAGAAAGAGCCGTTAAGTGCAGCTGGAGGCCGGGCCCGCCCCTCGGCCCAGCATTACAAGCCGAGCACATCCCAGTATTCCCAGTATTCCCAGTATTCCCAGTATTCCCAGTTTCCAACCAGGCCCACGGGAGCTCTCACCAACCCAATCCCCCGAACCAACCCATATTTTACATTTTGGTTCCAAACCCTGCAGAGCCTTGGCGCCCCCAACCAACCCCAATCCTATTGCTGGGATCCACGGGAGCAGGAACTTCCATTTCAGGCACTTGGCGTGGAGATCCCGGCGCGGGGCCGGGAGCCCTCCGAAGGTCCGTTTTTCCCTGGAAAAGGCGGGATGCGGAGCTCGTGGCGCTCACATGGCCAGCTCGGCGCCGTTGGAGCGCAGGCCGTGCTCGTCGAAGCGGCGGCGCACGCTCCTCCTCAGCGCGTCGGCCCGGCGGTACGGCTGGTTCCGGAGATCTGCGGGGAGCCGGCAGGGAGTCAGCGGCGCCCGGGCGGACACACGGACACACAGCACGGCAGGACAGACAGGGAAAGGCCCGCTGGAAGCCAATCAAAGCAGCTTGTGGAGGACGGGAGCAGGGATGGGCCCCGGCGCAGCGCAGGGAAGGACGGAATGCCCGAACTACGTGCCCCAGCGGCCGGTTAATACTGGTGGGATCGGGATGCCGGTGGGACCGTGGGAATGGTGCCCTGGGAATGTCCCCTCACAGCTGTCACCAAGGCCACATCAACCCCAGCCAGGCACGTTGAGGTGGTCCCTGCGTGTTCCCACACTCAAACACCGGAGCTGGAGGATGTTCCTCACAGCGGGTGCGTGATCCACGGGTTCGGCCACTCCGGGATGGATTTAGGATCCCTACATCCCGTTTAGCGTGGATTCAAGGAATCATTCAGGTTGGCAAGGACCTCAAAGATCTAAAAGAGGTGCCCTGGGAAAAGCAGCTGGCATTGGCATGGGATTCTCCAGCTGTTTTCCATGGCTGGAGCGATGCTGCATCAGCCAAAGGAGGGGAGAGCTCGGGAGGGAACACTGAGCATGGGATGGGATGGATGATGGATGATGGATGATGGATGGATGGATGATGGATGGATGATGGATGGATGGATGGATGGAAGAAGGAGAAAGCTGATGGATGGGATGGTGGCAGCCCATTACAGGTGTCACATGTGCTGTCACCTGTGCACCTACAACAAAACAAGCACTGAAGACAATTCCAGTTCAAATCCTGGTCTCCTGGCCAACAAATTTGTGTTGGACTGGGCAAATCCCTCAGATTTCCTGGATAACTTGTGGTGGGAGTTACACAGAACTCCCAAACTTCTCAGCTCTCCCCTCTCCACACCTGGAGTTGGAGATCGTCCACCTCATGCAGAACCCAATGTGGGGCTGCAGCACCTGGGGACAAAGCTCTTTTGGGACTTGAAGAGAAACGGCCAAACCAGAGTGTGATGGTGGTCACCAACCAGCACCACCCGGGCACGAGATTATTTTGGGCTCAACTTGAATTAAAGTGGCCAAAATGGAGTGTGAAGACGGTCACCAACAACAGCACTTGGGGACAAGACTGTTTTGGGCTCAACTCAAGGAGAAGTGGCCAAAACAGCGAGATGACTGTCACCAACCACCATCCTGTGGATCCCTGCACCTCCAGAGGTGAAAATCAAGGATCTGGGTCTCAAGTGGCCTCGAGGGTCTCACCAGTATTAGCTCAGCCACATCTACCACCAGCTGCCTGGCACAGAGAGAGAGGAGGAAGCCAAGTAAAAAGTGATGCTTGCCAGCTCTGGGAATCCTCCACCACGGCTGTGCTAGAAGAAATCCTTACCCTCGAGTGAACATTGGGAAATTTAGTGATATTATTCTTCTTTAGGGCTAAACAGAAAAACAAAAAACAACAAACAGAACACAAAAAAAAAAAAAAAATGATGGTTAAGTAAAAAAAAAAATGGGATGGAGAATGAAGAGCAAGTCAAGTCAGTGTTCAAACCTCCCGGGCAGAAACCACGGAGCGAGAGGGGTTAGACAGGGCAGGAGGGACAGGAGGACGCTCCCTACCCCAATTCCAAGCTGCTTTGAAGGTTGGCTCCAGGAAGAGAACACAGAGAGAACCCGGAAGAGCAAAGAACCGTGGAGTGGGTTAGTTTGTGGATTTATTGGCGACACTGATGGAATTTCACAGGGAACGCTGGAAGGAACACTGCTGGCTTCTTAAGCTGAGTCCTTCATGAGGACAACAGTGCCCAGGGCCGTGCTGGGTTAGGGACACGTTGGGGACACCACGATGGGAATCGCTGGCTTCCATGTCAGCTTTGTCTCGGCACCATTCCGGTGCTCCTGCCACGCATTCCCGTGATTCCCATCCTGCTCCCGCCCTGCTCCATGCACTGAGCCCAGCCTCACACAGAGTCCAGGCTTGCTGAGAATTCCCCAATCCATGAAATAAAGCTGGCATGGAGCTGACATGGAATGAAAGAGTTAAATGTGGATGTGAGCGAACAAGGAGAGATTTGACCCCGCTGTTCCACCCCATGCAGCTGAACATGCAGAACATGCAGGTGCTGGTTAGGAATCCTAAACCATCCCGTGGGTGTCATTCCCGAGCCAGGAGCCATGCCCAAAGCCATTCCCGAGGTCCATGCAGCCCGGAATTGCACCCAGAGGTGCCACATGCACGGCCCCCCGAGGTGACAGGAAAGCCAAGTGAGCTCCTGAGTCCCCACACTGCAGGAGACTCATCCCAGTGACTCCCACCTTCTGTTCTACGGGACACCGGGACAGCCCGATGGGATGGGATGGGATGGGATGAAGAGAACATGCCACAGAGGAGACACCACTACAACTTCAGGAGGACGCTGGACACCACTACACACTCAACAGTCACAGATTCCTGGCTGAGATCCACACAAACAAAGTGGCAAAAAGTCTACAGCGACCTTCCTGGTTTCTAAGAGCGTCAGGTGTGAAAGAGGGAGAGTTTAGTAATGGAATTCCTCAGGGACAACAGGGTCGCAGAAGAACCGAGAGCCGCGCTTGGCGCTTCGGGCGGTGAACGGCACCGTCTTCAGCACTGCATGGGAACAACAACAGCCACACACAAACCAACGTCAGCAGCGCCCCAGGCCTCGGGGACAGCTCAGTGCTCCCACACGGGACACCGGGACACGCTCCAGCCTGCTCCTCACTGGCCCTGCCACATGGTGAGGCTCCAGGAGATATTGCTCCACTCGTGGAATCCCAGCCTGCTTCGGGTGGGAAGGGACCTTAAACTCATCCCATCCCAGCCCTGCCGTGGCAGGGACACCTCCCACCATCCCAGGCTGCTCCAAGCCCTGGCCAGCCTGGTCTGGGACACTGCCAGGGATCCAGGGGCAGCCACAGCTGTGCCAGGGCCTCACCTCCCTCCCAGCCAGGAATTCCTTCCCAATCCCTGATCTTTCCTTCATTTTAAAGCCATTCCTCCTGGGCCTGTAATAAAATAATTCCCTTGAAGGTTTTGCTTTAAGGTGTGCTACAGGTCTGTGGGAAAACCTCAGTGTTTGGGATGATTTGGGTTGGAAGGGACCTTAAATCCCATCCATGGGACACCTTCCACTATCCCAGGGTGCTCCAAGCCCCATCCAACCTGGCCTGGAGCATTCCCAGGAATGGGGAGGTGTGGGATTTACTGGGACATCTCCAGGAATGGAGAAGTGCAGGATTTACTGGGACATCTCCAGGAATGGAGAAGTGCAGGATTTACTGGGACATCTCCAGGAATGGAGAAGTGCAGGATTTACTGGGAGATCACCTTGGTCCTACCTGACCTTCCATGCCTGACCCTTTCCTCCTCCATGGCTCCCAAAATGGGCAAATCCAGGCACAAGAGCACAGGAAACGTTTAATTGGAGCCTGGCACCCTCTCCTCTGGCTGGCCTTTTCCATAGGATCTGCTCCTCCCTCAGAGCAGCAGAACCATTTTTCCAATTAAACAAAGTCCCAGGAGCTCGGAGGAGTTGTGGAAGCAATGCCAGGTTGGATATTACTGCCACCCTGCCCTTCAAATGAGGAATGTTATCTCAGGGCCATTAATCAAGGTTAAAAGGAGCTAGGAAAGCTTCACACACTTCATCCAGCTGGGCAAAAATTCCCTGGCTTTTCCTTAGGGAGGGGCCAAAGAGCTCTCCTGCTCTTCTGCAAGAAAAACTCCTGTGGAAAACTCCCAGGAGCAGCTGGCAAAGACTTTTTGTTTTGGGTTCTGGTGCAAGGAAACGGAGTTTGTGAAGCTCCTGAAGTGTTAAATCATTTTCCTTCCACACCACAGGTGAAAAACGTGTGGAAAACTTCCAGTTGTGCAATCCCAGAAGCTGGAAGTGTGAAGAAGGATTTAATTCCTGGGAAAGATGCAGTTCAGGTGGCTCCTTTAATCTGCAAATATCTGCAGCCACGTTCTGACTGTGCCTGGCTGCACCAGGGGCTGTGTCCCTTCCCTCCAGGATCAGCAGGAAAACCTGGAGCAGTTTGGGATCACTGAAGGATTTCTGGGATCAGTCTGAATGAAAACAGAGACTCTTCATCCTGACATCAATCCCATTTGTGGGGAGACAAAAGGGATCTGGGACAGATCCACACGGCTCAGCTGGAGCAGCTGCCGGGATCTGCCTGCCCTAAAACCCTGGGAATGTCCCCGCAAGCTGGAACCTTCTGGACTTGCTCCACACCACACAAACAACGCCCTGGGGAGAGGAGAGAGGCCTGGAGCAGGCACAGGCAGCTCCAGGCTGGGAATTCGGGAGCAGGGGGTACCTGTGATGATGTCCTCGATGGCGCCGTCCTTGCCCTCGTACACGTGCCGGTTGTCCTTGACCTGCCGGCGCCGCAGCTCCGCGATCAGCTCCTGCTGCTGCCGCTTGCTCTTGTGGGATGGGGACTGGGAACACGCACGGGGATGCTCAGGATGCAGCTCCAGCTCTCCTGGGCTCCTTCCTGAACCTCACACAGCCCCACCAATTCCCACGGGAATTTCCCACCCCATTCCCAAGGCTGGGTTGTTCCCTCCCTCCATTCCCCGGCTGCTCCCGCTCCGTGGAGAAGTCAGGGAAGGATAAAGTTCAGCCCTGGAAATACGGACAGGACAACTTCCCACCGATTTCCTTTTCCTTAACTTTGCAGACTTCCAGAGCAGCAGAATACACACTGGAACTTTTCCAGCCTATCCCAATTCTCTCCATAAAAACTTCCAGACATTTTCCAGGCAGCTGCAATTCCTCACTCAGAGCTGAGGTTTCTGGATATCAGGAACACGATCCCACCTGGAAGCTGCGTTTGTCCTGTACCTTTTGGTCCTGTTGTTCCATCAACGCTTCCTGCTCCATGAGTTTTTCCATTAAGGCCTGCTCCTGCTTTTTCCTCAGCTCGTTTTCTTCCTCTGCTTGCTGTTTGGGAGAAAATCCATGGATTAGTGATTCTGGGGGAGCCAGGGAGGAACAGGATCTGTGCCACAGCGGGGTTTTGGGGGAAGGGAGAGGAGAAGGAGGAGGAGGAGGAGGAGGAGGAGAAGGAGAAGAAGAAGAAGAAGAAGAAGAAGAAGAAGAAGAAGAAGAAGAAGAAAGAGAAGGAAAAGAAGAAAGAAGAAAGAAGAAAGAAGAAAGAAGAAACAAAGAAGGAGGAGGAGGAAAAGAAGAGGAGGAGGAAAAAGGAGGAGGAGGAGGAGAAAGGAAAAGGAGAAAGGAGAAGGAAAAAGGAGGAAAAGGAGGAGGAGGAAAAGAAAAGAAGGAGAAAGAAGAGGAGGAGGAGAAGGAGAAGAACACAGGAGGAGAAGTGGGGGGAGGACAAAGAGGATGAGGAGAAGAAAAAGACAAAGAGAAAAAGAAGGAGAAAGAGAGAAGGATAAAGAGAAATATAAAAAGAGAAGAGGAGGAAGAGAGGAAGAGGAGGAGGAGGAGGAAGCTCTGCTTTACCTTGTAGGCCTTCACAAAGCGGACAAACACCGGGAAGAAGACGGAGGGTGGGGTCGTCTTGGGATTCTCCCCGAAATACTTCACAGCATCATCAAAGGCATCCTGCAACAGGCACAGCCTCAGTGCCCTGCACACCCTCCCCAGCCCCAGCATTCCAGGGAAAACCAGCCCAGCCCTGGGAGCCGCCCCCCACACAAATCCCGGGAATGCTGCGGCACCTGGGCTATTTTGGCATCGTCCTGGAGCTTCTTGAGCTTGCCCTCGTTGCTCTGGATGAAGTCCTTGAGCATGGTGTTGTGGTCGTGCATGGTGTACTCGCGCTTGGTCAGCTCCAGGCCCCGCTGCAGCTCCTTCACATCCAGCAGGACGTTCTCCAGGGACACTGGGAATGACACGGGAATGGTGGGAAGGGAAGGTGCGGGAAGGTGCGGGAAGG